CTTTTTTTTTTTTTGGGAGAGAAGACAAGAACTAGTACATATTATATAAGTAAGCTTCAAACAAACAACAATCAAGTCTATGCACCTAAGCTCATCACCAGTAAAAAAGAATTCATATAATTGCTTCAATTTAAGGTTTAAAAGAGGGTATCAACAAAAAGGATATTGTGGCTTGTAACGTGGCTAAATCCAAAGAAAAGGCTAAGGCAAACTTGGCTCAGTAGGGGTCTATGTAACGGGCAGGCTTTCAAGAAAAGGCTAAAACAAATAGCTAATCATAATACCCTTTTTAAGATATCGTGCATCCAAATTTATTTTGGATGGATTTGTCAACCATTCCTTAAATTAAGAATTTTGTTCAACTAAAAATTTCAAAGTATGAACTTCAAAATCTGGTGTATATCAAATTGTATGCATTTAAAAATTCAAAAACATCAATGCACATGTTTTTTAGATATGAATATTTTTAAAATTAGACTGTTTTTTCATCATTTGGACGGACTTTTCAACCATTCTTTAAATTAAAGATTTTGTTCACTTAAACTTTCAAATGTCGACTTCAACATATGGTTTGTATGCATTTCAAAATTTAAAAACATCAATGCACACGTGTTTTAGATATAAGGGTTAATTGCTAAATAAACTTTAATCTTTTTGCGTTTGACAATTTTATCCCAATCTTTGGACAATTGCAATATAATCTCGGCCTCAATTTACTTATTGCAAATTTAGGTGCAAGGTGATTGATTTTAGGATTTGTGGATCAATTTTGTGTCTAAGTCTTCCATTGTTGGCTTTTATGCCATCCACGTAACAAGTCGGCAATTTCCACGTATTTAATGTATATCCACGCACAAAGCCGAAAATTTCACGTCAATGTAAGCTACCGGTGATGATTCTCCTCCTAGATCTGGAGTGATCCGGTAAATATGAGCTCTGATTTGTTCAAACCGCTTTCAAATTGACCAATTTTTGAAAGTCTAACCGGTTTTAGGTTCGACTTGCAATAAGTAAATTGAGGTCGAGATTATATTGCAATTATCCAAAAATTGAGATAAAATTGTCAAACGCAAAAAGGTTAAGGTTTATTTAGCAATTAATCCTAGATATAAACTTCATACAATGAAGGATTTTGTTCAATTTGACAAGTATTTTATAAATCACACATTTTCAAAATTTAGACTTATTGTTTAAATTTTCGTGATTTCGAATTTGAAATCCTCTGTTGGAGTAATTTATAATTACAAATATTTTTTATACTTTAAACATGTTTTTCGGGTATATTTTTTACAC